GGGGGGGGTGGGAAGGAGGGAGGGAGGGAGGCTGGGCGTGTGTGTGAGGCGTGTGAGTGTCACAATCCTCACCAAAGAGGCAGAAAGAACACACAGGCACTGGATGGACTGGATGTGCAACCCCCCCGCCCCCCCCACGGCCAAACATAGGGGACACAACGCATTAAGCGCCATGAAACGCGCACGTGCACGTGTCGCCTGCTAGGAACTTGATGGACGATGTCATCATATTGATACAGTGTGGCGTATCAGGGCGGGGGGAGCGGGCACAGGTAGAACTGATGGAGAGCCCGGGGGGGGTGGAAATATACTCCACAGGGGGGGGAAAGGCCTACGCTTTTCCTTCTCTGATTGGCTGACTCACACCTGGAAGTGTTTCCACCTGTTCGGCCGCCGGAAAGAACCGAACGGTGCTCGGATCCCGCCTCGTTAAAAAGTTTTAGTCTCAGTCTGGCGGCCATTGCTCAAAGTTTAGATTTGAGTGACGTGTTTTATCACTGAATTAAAACAACAACAAAGAATCCTTTGCCTTTCTTTTTTTTTCTTCTCACATTAGAAAGTGAAAATAAGTCTTTAATCCCAACCTTTAAGTAAAGATTTCATAAAGACCAAATGTTCCACTCCTGGTTTCCTCATTTTTCACATAAAGTGTCACGCTGCTGATAGCTGTTCAACAGAAGTTTATCTCTCTTCTTAATAAATTCTGCCTAAAGAATCTATTCTTAGTTTATTGTATAAAGTCAGACAGCTCTCAGATGTAGCACTAAAGCTGGCATAGAGGCTGCTTTTTTAATTTTAAAGGAACCATCCTTCCCTCCTTACAGTGAGGATGTAACTGATATAGAAAGCATATAGAAGAGATTTAAGGCTAAATAAATACCTATCCGGGTTCAAATTGGGTTTTGTTGGCTCGAGCTCGTTTCTGTTTGACCTGTGAGGATATTTTTGTCAGCATGGACGGCGCTGTAAAAAGCTGCTCATCATAAAGAACAAACTCACGTCTCTATTTCAGTGTTTTTGCAGGTTTTGGGGAGAACAGCATGGCCGCCATCCTGTTTTTCTCCACTGCTTGTTGACGGACTCCCTAAGGAAGCAAGAAAAAAAACAAGCATTTTAAAGATTTCAAATAATTTATTTTCTTCTATTTGAACTAAAAAAGTATACCAAAGTTGGCTTGACTCACCGTCACTTGACCATTTGGGAAAATCGAGGTTCACCCTGGAATCAGGCAGCATGCTGCTGCTGAAAGGCAGAAGAAAACACACACAATAAGATCGAATTTTGTCTGACTAGAAGCCATGTTGGGACTCTAAGGTGGTTTATGTCTAATTTAAAGTTCAGGCGGGATACGTACTTTGCTGCCGCATCTTTGGAACCTTCTCCTGAGCAGGGGATGATGTCTGTTTCAGTGTATCTGCAAACTAAAGTCAAGGAAATCCAACAAAGAGTCTAAATGAAATGCTGACAAAAAAAAGTGACCTTACACGTGATTTATAGCAAACTTTATTAATCTTGAGAATGAGGATGGAGTCTCTACAAAATCACTTAAATCAATACTTTTTTATTGTCTTTTTTCTTTATAAAATACTTAAAAGTGTCACAGATTATAAAAGCAAACAATTACAATCAAGCTGATTCTATAAAAAAAAGCAAATCTGCCCAGGCTATTTTACTTTATGCATGAATACTTGCTAAAAAAAAAGTCTGGTTTTTCTCCTCTCTGCGGTAACAGTAAAGGATACTGCGCCCTGCCGTACTCCAGAGTGTCGTCTCCATCCACGTCCAGGTCGGCATCGCTGTCCCGGCACTCTTTGGAGGTCGTGCTGACCAACACGGCACCTGAGGAGAGAAGTTTGGAGGGAAATCGTTTTCCATAGAGTTTGGCATCTTTCCGGCCTCTCCGGCTCGCTCCTGTCACTCAGCCCGCAGCGAGTTTGCAGGTCAGAGCGTCTGGTAAAAAAAAACTGACCTTCCAGGCATTTTTTTTTTTCCCCCTCCGCCGTAATCTGTCCTGAAAAGTTCAGCGGATTTCCAACTGCCACTCAGTCACATTATCCACCCTCCACTCCACCAGATTATGCAGGAAAGACCAAAGATCTACGTTTACCTTTAAACCCAACGGGCGGCACCTGTATCCTTCTCCTCTCGTTCCACTCATCCTCCAGTGGCATCAGGTCCGCTGAACCCTCCTAAGAATCGCACACACACACACACACATACACACACACACAAACGCTGGGTGAATGCGCCCGCACGCCCGCAGCTACATATCTGATTCTGTGTTTTTAGAACTGTGAACCACGCCGGTGGCGTTTTCACATGGATACACAGCGAGCTGACAGTGATCCTGATGCCCAGAGAACAAAGCCAGTCAAGCGCTGACATTCTGCCGGCCTCAGATCAGCCCGCCGTGCGCTGCGTCCCATCGTCTCCAATTACCATGAAAATGCCAGGGGAATGAAAATCTACAAATATCAAACCATCGTCTTTAAGGAGAGGACAGAAAATAAGGTGGGTACCTGCACTTCCTCTGGTTTCCTCCTCTTCATCTTTCCAATCCTTACTGAAACAGACAGGAGGCATGGGGGGGGCAAAAGTGAGGTAGGTCTGTCTCAGCTTAACATGTCAAACATAAAGGAGTCATCTTTACTTATCATCTATCAGTGAAGGACTTAAGAAGTTTAAGATATCAAGTTACAAAATCTACAATAGTATAACCTTATTATTGTGTTATTCAACATTCTGCAATCAGGAACTTTCTGTTCATTATGTCACAATTTTTAGCTTTAAATTAAAAGAAATAGGTTTTTAGTAGGCGTTTTTATGTAATCTGAAAATGTGTCCTTGACCACTGCCACCGTATAAACTTTATTTACAAATACAGTCATTTACATTGACAGAAATTTCATTTGACTGAAAAAAATCAGGTCGAAATTGCTTTCTTCTGCCCTTTGCCACTGAAGAGTGTAAAAACAATGATTTCAGGATCATTATGACAAGAGTGGCATTGATTTTTATTAACAAAAGGAGAGTATAAAGCATGTGTTTACATCAAAACTAATGGATAGTAAAAAACAAAAAATGTAATAATTAAAAAGAGATTTGGCTTAGTGCCTTGTGAATTTTCCCTTGTGGGTTCATAAAGTGTAACATTACTTTAATATTTTCTATGCTATTTAATTATCAGTACTTAAGCAGAGATTAACACTTATAAGTGCCCTGGAACAAACCCTGGATTTTGCCTGTAATTAGCTTATGGAGGAAAGGTATTAAGTAGAAATGGGAAAAGGCCTCCTGAAAAGACATATTTGGACATCAATAAGGGCCAGAAATTTAAGAAATGAAAGCTATCGAGTGTTGATTTTATTTAGGTGTTGCAAATGTTCATAACAGTTAAAAATGAAAATAGATATGGACCATATTTATTTAGTTTATTTGAAAGCCCTTTGGAGTTGAAATATCGAACAGTGAACGACACAATATTTAGCTAAATGTTCCAGGCCTTTTAAGACACAACTGATCTGAACGTGGCAGCTTATGGTTTTTTTTCGGCTCGGGGTGCCAAACATGGCTCCCGTCCCCATTCTATCCCCCCCTCCTTCCATCATTCCTCCAGAGAACACATAAAAGTTAACACCGCAGAACACTAACTGCGGATCCCTTCTCTCGGGGACCTGACCGACTACGAGGGGGACGTTAAGTTTTAGCTCCCCCTGATTCCCGGCTGGGTGACGGTGGGCAGCTGGGGGGTCAAGCGCAGGGGGCCGCAAGCATAATGAGGGTTAAAGAGACGGTCACCGATGAGGACGGGCTCATCAAACGAAGAGCAGGGGTTGATTAATCGGCAGAAGAGCACTCCTTTCTGTTTCCTCCCTGACGTGTATTTAGAAGCTCATTACTCCGGCCTGCTATGAGGCTCAATAAAGGCTAACACACCCCGACAGCGGCTGCAGAGTGAGAAGTCAGCTAAGAGCCTGAGCATCTCATAGGAAATAAAAAAAAAGAAGAATCTGTCACATGAGGAAGTGCTTGAATGCTGTACAGGAGTGTGACCTCCTACTGTAAACCTCTCAGGACGGTCGGATCATTACTCTGATCACTGTTATTCGATGTTTTATTCTGAATTTGTGAATATTGTGCACCAGCCTTTGAAAGTCCCTGGTGAGGATTCGTTATGGGCCGAAAAAGCACAGTGAGAAAAAAATCCCTTTGGCTTGTGTTTATGGTCCCCCAGCTTGCTGCGCAGGTCATCAGCACAGAGATTAATGCCGCAGCTCCTTATTCACGACATTTACAGCCCCGAGTCTGTAAAAGCAAGAGTCCTGACGGGGGGGGGGGGGCGCTCAGCAGCAACTGAAGCTGTTGTTAATGATCCAGCATCACCACCTGATAACTGAGCAATAAACGCCGGAAGCATATCTCACAAAGAAGGAGATTTTTTTCTTTAAAAAGGGACGCTCTTTTATCTAATAGTGACCATCGATAAAGTCTGCGTTACATTTGATAAAAGCTATCATCTGTACGCCCCGTCTGAAGAGGCTTCTGTTGGAAATGGAAAAGCTAACTGAGACTAATCCGAAATGGAATAAAACTGTCCAAAAAATCAAATAAAATCCGGTCGGTTGCCCAAACTTTGTGAGCTACGTTTTATCACTATTGCCGACAAGCCTTCAGATTTTTTTTTAAGACGTGCCAAATGAAAAGAGGAGAGGATAAACGTGAGTGTGGGAAAGAAAAAGTGCTCTCATGGCGTTTTCTTACCGGCTTGTATGCAGTCTAGGTGGGCTCCTGCGCTGTGTGGGCGCAGTGGGGCGGATTTGACGTAGCACCTGCACCAGCAGAGGTCATCGACTGTTAACATATCAAGAGGTCAGAGTTGAAAGGTTAATAACTCCTCTGCTCGTGTGGGCGCTAGGCCGGTGGAGATGGTGTGGGAAAAATGGGGAGATATCTCAATGACTGGTAGAGGAAGGGGGGGGGGGGCTTGAAACAAAACACATGACTCCTGAGCGCCTGAGCTTTCACAAAGGAAACTAATTCTTTAAGGCCTTTAGATTAAAAGCCACTTAAAAAGTCCAGAGCCAACAAGACAGAAGGACTCTCTGTTAGCAGCGAACTGAGTGGACAGCGGCTAAAAAACGGGATTCGGACGGCCATGAATGCATCAACCTACCGTTCAGTCTGGTGTGCCTGTTGGCCCGCACCCGGAGAAACGTCTGCAACAAAAAGAACGGACAGTCTTTATCACGTAGGCCTTTTTCTAGTAGATATAAGCACATCCAAAATCTGGCGTCTGCTAGAGTTTGGGGAACGTTGCGTAATAAAATATTTCAGTGTAAAAATGCTGACCAAAACACTGCTCAGCAGTTCCTGGGATGATCACATTTCCTACTTTCTTTGGCACACTTTATGGCTTACTGGGAACGTTTGCGTAGGCAGCTGCATTTGAAAAGATTCTCTTTTAGCCACATGAGACTAATCTGGCAAAAGTCTTCGACAACACACAGTGCATCAGTTTGGTTTTGGTAATAAGAAACTGGAGTTCAGAAGTCTCACCAGGTCTACAGTCTTTATTATGATGATAATTGGTCCAAAGCAGTAAATCCAAATTAGGAAAACCCAGGAAAAAATTAGGAAAAACAAAAGAATGTGTATAAATTAGTGTGCCATTTGGGATGTTTTGATCAGATTGGATTGTTTACAATTACGCACAATAATCATAATAATTACTGCTATTTCAGTCATTCCCATGTACAGTGGACTTGATGTCACAAAGATGTTCAAACCCCCCCCAAAGTCCCTTTACAAGTGAAAACACCGGTCCTAAGCTACCTGTTATTCTAATCAGCACAATGCCTGCCAAAGGAAGATGAGCAGATAAGAAGAGGAAATGGGACTTTCGGTGGTTGTTGGTGATTTTTATTGTTATGTGGGATGTGAGTTTTTAAGATAGTCCATCAGAAGTTGAAATATTCCAACTGGGAGCATTTAGAGCACTGTTTACAGTTTACTGACTACTCCTACATTCTGCATATTCACTCTAAAAAGGAAACAAATAATGATTGCTAAAACAGCTAAAATGGAAAGGTTTGCACATTTTTGCACAAGAAAACAACAAATTAATGTTCACTTTTAACAAATAAAGTACATAAAATACTAATATATATATATATTTTTCATATTATACACTTTCTAAGACTTTTTTTTACTCTAAGGTCCAAAGCTCCAGGAGAGAATTCAGACACATGTAGAAAGATGTCGATGAAACTGAGGACAATTTTATCCAAACTTGCATTTGTTTGCGTTTTTTTTGTCAGCGCACCTGATATCGATCTGAGTGGGCTTCCTCAGACAGCTGGGGGGGCGAGCTGGGGGAGCCTCCTTCGCGCTTGATATGCAGAGAGAGCGACAGGGACTGGGGAACGGGAGGGGAAGCAGAACTCTGTTAAAAAACAATCAGGCACGGGACAACGGTTGGGGAGGGGGGGGGGGGGGGGGCGTGCTCACCTTCGGCGTCCTCAGGAGGTGCTCGTGCTGCACCGTAGTGGCACTGTGGAACAAAATGTTACATGTTAGCCCGGAAACACTCACATGTGCTAAAAAGCTAACCGTAAAAAAAAAAAAAAGCCTTTAAAATGTCAGCTCATTAAAAAAGCTTTGCTTTCTCTTGTCTAAATTTGTACACGCATAACCCCATTTTACGCTTTCTCAGTTTATGTCTGACACACACACACACACATATAGCACACCTACCTTCACAAACACTGTATCATGCCACAAACAAACACACACACACACACACACACACACACATACACACACACACATCGTGTCCCCATGGGCAAAGTTCAATTTGAAACCATTACTGTCCATGGAGCGGTCGTTAAGCAGATTTGGAGTGTAATGTCTTTATTGGAGGAATCATTCTTCTGGTGTAAGCAGCAGGTAATGCGTGTATATGTGTGTCTGTATTTGTATTTTAGATCGTGCGCGCGTGTCTGTGTGTATTCGCGGGGCTCAGAGCAGCCATTAGAGGGACATTATCCGCCCGCTGTACGAGTTGTCGCCTCCCAGCCGGAGGCTGTAATATGAAATATGTAGGGAACAATGAAGCAGCTTGTAAACACCGTACACAGGTGACAGAGAAATCTGGAGATATCACCCAGGGAAAGTAAAAGGGAGGGGTTTGGGAAATTCAAAAACTGTCCGCATTAATAATCTCCCGAATGCTGAACAGAATGGAAAGTCTGGGATGTAAAATGGAAAGAAAATGGCAAATGATGAAATACCTGGAGACGTACCTGATCTGCAGCTGTGCTAGTTTGGACAGCTCCTGCTCCATGTGCTCCTGCAGCTCTCCCGGCCGCAGGATGACCTGGCAGACCGGACACATCGGGGTCTGAGTGTCATAAAGACCCTTCACTCTGCCTGGACAGAAACAGCACCAAAGGTTAAAGCCGCAGTTCGGAAAACTCAATCGTGATTTCTTTCAATTCTTTTTGTTTAATCATGGTCCCTCAACTGAGAAGGACACAAAACAATGTGTTTGCTCATCAAAAAACACCAACTGCCATCAAAAGCACATTTTCCTAAAGGAAAACCACAGAAATATCAGACACAGTGTGTAAAATTGTGAAAAAACTGTGATTGGCTTTTTTGGGGAAGGGGAGGTTGACCTCCTGAGCTTCTTACAAGTCTTTGAAAAAAATCCATGCCTCATCTGGAATTCTGATCATGAAAACTTAATGATTTTTTTTATATCTATTGCTTATCTTAGTGATGAAGCATTTCATATCCTAACAATTCAATATGTCCTATAATCTCACAAATGTACATTTAAATGTCTCATTGATTACAGACACAATATCAAAATGACATAATACATATGCTACAAAACAATAATAAAATAAAATGTACAGCATATGTAATCGAATTTAAAACGTGTTCAAGTAAAGCTGAACTTTAAAGAACTTCATCTGATAGATTACATACATGTATCTATATATATGTCTGCTTAGTTAAAGCCCTGAGTGTGCGTGTGTTTGTGTGTGTGTGTGTGTCTGTCTTCAGGAGAGCTATCTGTACCGCTGTCAGTGTAAGTGAGAGTAAAATAGGCTTGAACACACACACACACACCTACGCACAAACACACGGCTGTGGCCTCCTGCTGTCGGCGTGTTGACATCACAGGCTGTCGATAGGAACATTACCCAGGAGGGCCACTCGGCCCATTGGGCCCCACTGATGGATTACAGCTATAAGCAGTCAACTGGGAGCCCGAGGAGCGCTACTATATCAAGATTTTACCGAGTGGATGAGGTGATTTATTCCTGAAAGCCATCAATCCTGGGAGAGACTCGCAGGCAAGATGCAGCTAATTTCCCCCATTCAGGCATTTAAAAAGATCAAACTTTTCCTTGAAACCCTCTAATCTGACGTCCTAACTATGGGAAACTGTGAAAGCCTGCATTTTCTGTAAGACGCTGTCGTCCAGACGCAGACAAAAACCCGCCTTCAGAGCCTGAAATGACCAGAGACCTGAAACTGGACGATCTGCCGGGAAGGCCGCACGCCGGCATCCCACGAGCAGCGAGCCCCCCCCCCCATAATGAGCATCCAAACAGGCCCAAATGGCCTCTAAATAAAACATGGAGTGG